CTTGACCATAATCGAACCCAGGACCCTTCAATCCACAGGCCAATGCTCTATCCACTGAGCCAAATTAGCTAGGGCATGATTTTTTTTTTTTTAAGACAGGACAATAGTGGGAAATAGTGACATCTGTAATACTTCCAACAATAAAGATAATTTTCTTAGAGGCAGGAAACAAGTGTTGTCAAGGATGTAGAGCAAAGGGAATACTTTTACATTGTTGATGGAAATGTAAATTGGTACAGTCACTATGGAAAACAGTATGAAGATTCCTCAGAATTTAACAATAGAACTACCATGTGATCCACAAGATCATTATGCTAAATGAAATAAGTCAGACAGAAAGATAATTGCCATATTGTTTCTCTTATATGAGAAATCTAAAAACAACACCAACAAAAAACAAGCTCAGATACAGAGAATAGGTTGTTGGTGGTTGGGGAGGGAGAGAAATAAGTGATGGTAGCAAAAGATTTTTAAAAAAATATATTTTATTGATTTTTTACAGAGAGGAAGAGAGAGGGATAGAGAGTTAGAAACATCGATGAGAGAGAATCATTGATCAATTGCCTCTTGGACACCCCCTACTGAGGATGTGCCTGCAACCAAGGTATATGCCCTTGACTGGAGTTGAACCCAGGACCTTTCAGTCCCTAGGCTGACACTCTATCCACTTAGCTAGACCGGTTTCGGCAAAAAGATTTTTTTAAAAGATTCAAAATACATTCCTGGGATTTGGGGGCAGGGAGGCTATGAAGGGGTCATAGTTGAGGAATGAGTACCTGGGAGATTGGATAACAAATATCACAGTTTGATCAGTCAGTGAAACCCCATGAGGTAAGAGGAAGATGTTAACTGGGGACTGAAAGCAGGTACTCCAGTTGAGTGAAAAGCTGGAAGGAATGTTTGGGGCAAGAGCCAGTCTCAATAGAATCCAGACCCTGTAGGTGAGTGTGAGAGCGCTCTCTAGCTTCAACACTATGGATGTTGATGCTTAACCTTTCACCTTCTGATCTAAAAAAAAAAAAAAAAAAAAAAAAAAAAAAAAAAAAAAAAAAAAAAAAAGACGGATCATACCAGGGATTGGTGCAATGTGAAGCAAATGCAACTCTCACACTGCTAGAGGGAATATAAACTACTACAAACACTTTGGAGAATATTTTGGCAGTTTTTTAAAATATTAAACATACATCTGCCATTATTCTACTCCTAGGTATTTACCTAAAAGAAATGAAAGCATATGTTTACACAGAGTTGTACATGCAAGTTCCCAGCAGTGTTATTTGTAATGGGCAAAAACTGAAGGGAACACAAATGTCTAATACAGATGAATGGATAAACATACAATGACATACTCATTAATTTTTAAAAATATATTTTATTGATTTCAGAGAGGAAGGAAGAGGGGGAGAGAGAGAAACATCAATGATGAGAAAATTATTGATCAGTTGCCTCCTGCATTCCCCGGACCAGGGATTGAGTCTGCAACCTGGGTATGTGTCCTGACTGAGAATCAAACTGTGGCCTCATAGGTCGATGCTCAACCACTGAGCCATGCCAGCCGGTCCTCATTAATTTTTTAAAAAAAGTATGAACTACTTATACACAAGCAATCTAAATGAATCTCAAAATAATTATGGTGAGTGAAAGACCCAGACGAGTAAATACTGTTTGGTCACATTATATAAAACTCTAGAAAATACAAGCTAATCAATGGTGACAGACAGCAGATCAGCATTTGCATGGGCTAGCATAGAGGAGGGATTACCAAGAAGCAATAGGAAACTGATGTGAAGGGCAGTGATGGATAAGTTCACTAACTTGATTGTGGTGATGGTTTCATAGTTACATATATATATATGCAAAAACTTATCAAATTAGCCTGGCCAGCACGGCTCAATGATTGAACGTCAACCTATAAATGGGGCGGGGGGGGGTGTCACAGTTTGATTCCCAGTCAGGGCACATGCCTGGATTGTGGGCTAGATCCTATGTGGGCCGTGCAGGAGGCAGCCAATCAATGATTGTCTCTCATCGATATTTCTATCTCTCTTCCTCTCCCTTCCTCTCTGTAATCAATAAAAAAATATTAAAAAAACATCAAATTGTACTCTTTAAGATGTACAGTTTATTGTATGTCCATTTTATTCTTAAAGCGGTTGAACTTTACACTCTAGCAGAAACAAAATTTTAGATTCCTTTTCATTATAATCTAAAATCTGTTTTACAGAGCTATCCCTTTATTTCAAAAATAATTATTTAAGAAATTTTGCTCTTCTTTCTTTAATCTGAGGTCTTATAAGGGTGATTACTTTTGATCTGGAAAACCATTAAAGAAATTAAAAAATATTCCAGGAGGTCGCTGCGGCTGCCTTGGCAGCGACAGGAAGTGAGGCAGCAGCAGAAACCAAGGCAGTAGGGCCCCTGCAGCGACGTCGTCTACGGGGTGGGCCGAGGGAGCTGAGCACCGAGGGGACCCACCTGCTCCAAAGCCGGACCCCGAACCGAGCAGGATGGACCACCACCAGCTCGGCACTGGCCGCTATCAGGTGCTTTACAATGAAGAGGATAGTTCAGAATCATCTGCTATAGAGCAGCCATCAACTTCAAACCCAGCACCACAGATTGTGCAGACTGCTCCTTCAGCATTAGTATTTGAAACTGACTTTTTTCCTCCACCTTATAGCAGTATTACTGAGCAAGTACCTACAACTTCAGATGCAGAAGTATACAATGAGTTAGTTTTATCCTGTGCCACCTCCATACAGTGTTGCTACCTCTTTTCCTACGTATGATGAAGGTGAGAAGGCAAAAGCTGCTGCAGTGTCTGCCGCAGCAGCAGAAACATCCCAAAGAATTCAGAAGGAAGAGTGCTCACCAAGAGATGACTTTAGTGATGCAGACCAGCTCAGAGTGGGTAACGATGGGATTTTTATGCTGGCGTTTTTCACGGCATTTATTTTCAACTGGCTTGGATTTTGTTTATCCTTCTGTATCACCAATACCATTGCTGGAAGGTATGGTGCCATCTGTGGATTTGGCCTTTCATTGATCAAATGGATCCTTATTGTCAGGTTTTCTGATTATTTTACTGGATATTTCAATGGACAATATTGGCTTTGGTGGATATTCCTTGTACTTGGCCTGTTTCTATTCTTCAGGGGATTTGTTAATTATCTGAAAGTCAGAAACATGTCTGAAAGAATGGCAGCTGCTCATAGAACAAGATATTTCTTCTTATTATAGAGACTCATCAACCAGACATTCCTTTCTTACATCCATGTGAAATTTCCAGATCATCATGTAAACCTACAATTTTAATAGGATAGAAGACTACTAATAACAGAAGATAAATTAGTTAAAAGATAGAGCTTCAAAATTGGATGACAGGGTGGTTTATGCTTAAAAGCCACTTCTGTTCATTCTCTTAAATATTTATATTTCATTTGTTTTGTGCAGTTGTATCTGTGCCCCTTCAAAAGATTTGCATATACTTGAAAGACACCATAAAGTTGTAGCAGTAAAGTACAGTCACATTTTGTTAATCAGTGTTTGATGTATATTTCAAAGAGTTGAGTGATAAACAGTCTTCTAGCATGTAAATGCCATGGACTTCTGACCTGACTTTTAGTATAATAAAAATGAAATTATTAACCATGTAAAAAAAAATAAAAATAAATAAATAAAAATAAAAAATATTCCAGGAAGTCTATAATGGAAAACAGACAAGGAGGAATTATGTGTTGCTTCAGTAAAGCATCATGAGTTGTGTGAAGCTGAGTGGAACACCACCCTCTAGGAGTGAGGAGATGCAATGCAAAGGCACATAATATGCTAATTGGTGATAAATATTTCCCACTTCTAGATATATCCTTTCAAAATCTTTTAAATTCTCTTCACCTTGGTTTTATCTGTTAAATTGAAGTAATGACATCTGTACTCCCTACCTGAAATAAGGCAAGCAGTCAGATAAGTAGCACCACTGATTTGAAATCATCCAGTTGCTTCATTTACATAAGAAAGAAAAAAAAGTTAATTGCTACTTCTGCAGTATATTTATTGTACCTTTGCTTCCTTAAGTATTTCACTATAGACAGGTAAGTATATTTAAAACATTAGAAGAGTGATGGACATTCTTTTTTTAATGACCATTTTTAATGTTGTTACTTAATGGAAGCATTTCTGTTATTTTTCTTCTGTAATTGCTTTGAACATTAAGGTAACTACTAAGGGAATTTGTGAACAACCTTTCCTGATAATCTTAGATGTTAGTATTAGAATACAGTTTTTAATTTTTAATGGGTTTTCTGCAAATGAAAAGTTAAATGATGGTCCAGAATATGACATATATTTGAGCTCAACCTTATTTTAAAAATCAGTAGTCATTTTTTTAAAGCAAGTGAGAATATTTATCAAACCTGAAAAGGCATCATCAAGCACATTATCAGTGCTTTACTTTCTATTAGTTACATCTGGAAAGAAGGTAATGAAGATTTGGGGCTAATAAGTATTCACCAACAGATGTTTAATTATTTACAAAGCTGTTAAATAGTGTTAAATTGGAAAAAAGCTGGAACATTTCTGCTCTTCTATTTTAGATGTATTCTAACTAGAATCTGGTTCACAGCATCTCTTTTATTAAAAAAAAAACTTCATTAAATTAGGGTGACACTGGTTAATACAATTATATAGGTTTCAAGTGTGCAGTTCTATAATAAATCATCTGTATATTGCATTGTGTGTTCACCACCCAAAATCAAGTCTCCTTCTGTTACCATTTATTTGACTCCCTTTACCCTTTCCTAGCTCCCACCACTCTCCTCTCCCCCCAGTTTTCACCATACTATTGTCTGTGTTGGTTTATAGCCATTTCTTGATTCACCTCTAATACAACTCAGTTTGGGAGAATATTTGAATAAAGAATAGCTCACATTCACATTTGTTCTTAGCATTCATACTTTTTTGGTTCTTTCCAGGTTAATATTTTTACTTATGTTTCTCTGTAGATTGCAAAATTGGGAAATCTTCTAGAGTCAAAAGAAGACCACTGCATCAGACTCATTGAAGAAAATGACAAGTATCAAAAACATCTAGGCAACTTAATAAAAAAGGTACAAATTTTCTTACAGAAATTTGTCCTTTAAAAACTATGCCAGCCATAACCAGTTTGGCTCAGGGTCCTAGGTTCGATTCTGTTCAGTCAAGAGCATGTAACTTGGTTGCAGGCACATAACCAGTAGGGAGTGTGCAGGAGGCAGCTGATTGATGTTTCTCTCTCTTTCCCTCTCCCTCCTCTCTGTAAAAAAAAAAAAAAAAAAAAAAAAAAAAAAAAAAAAAAAAAAAATTAATAAAATATATTTAAAAACAACTGTGCCAAATATTAAAATAATAGAATGTTGGAGCTAGAACGAGTCTGAGGGGTACAACACAATTCTATTGACTTTCTTTTACCTAGTAACGACATTATAAAACATCCCCATTAGCCTTTTAGCTGAAAGTTAGAAAGAGAAAGTTGTATCTATCCTTCTGCTATCAGCAATTTCAGTACTTAATATTGCTATTTCATTTTGAGGGTAAATTTTAAATCTTGCCAAATCAGTGTTCTAGTTTGCTTTTAGAAACTGCATTAACATATGGAAGCTACCTAAGTGCTCATCAATAAAATAGTGGATAAAAAAGCTGTGGTACAAATGTAAAATGGAATATTACTCAGCAATAAAAAAGAATAACATTTTACCATTTGCAACAGCATAGATAAATCTAGAGGGTATTATTAAAAGTGAAATAAGTTAGCCAGAGAAAGACAGGTACTACATGATTTTACTTATATGTGAAATCTAAAGAACAATATAAATGAAAACACTAAACAGTAACAGACTTATAGGTACAAAGAACATAATGATAGTTGCCAGAGGGGGACGGGTGGTGGGAAACTGGGTAGAAAATATGAAGGAATTGAGAAGTACAGATTGGCAGTTACAAAACAGTCATGGGAATATAAAGGATAGCATAGGGAATGTAGTCAGTAATATTGTAATAATTATGTATGGTGCCAGGTGGGCACTGGAAATATCAGGGGAACACTTTGTAAAATATGTGATGTAACTACTATGCCTTCGACCTGAAACTAATATAAAACAATCTTGAATGTAAAAAGAAGTGACTTTTCCTTTACACAATTCTATATTTTAAAAACTTTACAATATGATTCAGCAATTCTACTCTTAGGTATATGCCCAGATAAATTAAAGCATATGTCCATACAAAAGCTGTACACAAATGTTTATAGCAGCATTATTCATAATAGTGAAAAGTGAAAATAATTCAAATATCCATCAACTGATGATGAATGAATGAATAAAATGTGGCATATCCATATGGTGCAATATTACTTGTCAATAAATGAAGTGAAATACTGATATGTCCTATAATATAGATGATCTTTTGAACCACCATGCAAAGTGAAAGAAGCCAGTCACATATTATGTTATTCCATTTATATGAAAAACCTGGAATAGGAAAATCTATAACAGAAAGTAGATTAGTGGTTGTCCAGGGCTGGAGGAACAGAGGGGAATGGAGAGTGACAGCTAAGGGATATGAGGGTTTTTTTTGTGGGCTAATGAGAATGTTTTCTAATTGATTGTTGTGATGAATGTACACATCTGACTACATGAAAGCCATTGAGTGGGTCAATTGTGTGCTATGTAAATTATATCTTAATACACTGTAAATAAAATCTCTTTTTTTAAAATATATTTTTATTGATTTTTAAAATATATATTTTATTGATTTTTACAGAGAGGAAAGTAGAGGGATAGAGAGTTAGAAACATCGATGAGAGAGAATCATAGATCAGCTGCCTCTTGCACACCTCCTACTGGGGATGAGCCCGCAACCCAGGTACATGCCCTTGACTGGAATCGAACCCAGGACCTTTCAGTCCACAGGCTGACGTTCTATCCATTGAGCCAAACTAGTTTTGGCTAAAATCTCTTTTAAAAACTGCATTAACGCCAAACCAGTTTGGCTCAGTGGATAGAGCGTCAGTCTGTGGACTGAAAGGACCCGGGTTTGATTCTGGTCAAGGGCATGAACATTAGTTGCAGGCACATCCCTGGTAGGGGTTGTGCAGAAGGCAGCTGGTCGATGAATCTCTCTCATCAATGATTCTAACTCACTGTCCCTCTCCCTTCCTCTCTGTGAAAAATCAATAAAATATATATTTTTAAAATAAATAAATAAATAAAAACTGCGTTAACTTTAACCAAATGAACTATATCCATTGATTGATAATACACCATTTGTCAGGAAGATAGCTGGATCATAGTTGACTCATTACAGTTGTTCATTTTTTGACACTTCACTTTCTGCATGATGAATAGACATATAATTCCATTTCTATTGCTGTTTTCAAAATATAAGGAAGATGTTTTGCTTACTGTAAGACTTTCATTGCCAGGAGTCATATAATTGAACCTCAACTTGTAGAGATTAAAAATTTTTTAAATAAAAATTCTAGAATTTGTCAAAGAATAAATTTTTAGCTTATTTTTTCAAGGTTACATCATATGAAGAAATAATTGAATGTGCTGACCAACGGCTCAAGATATCTCACTCCCAGATTGCACAGTAAGTTGAAAGAGCTTAACTTTTAATTTTGTAAACATTTACAAAATTTTATTTTGCTCTCTGGCTTGCTAAACTATTTTTCCTTAGACTTTTAGAAGAAAATGTGTAATTTTATAAATTAAGATCACTTTTCAATAATTTAGTTAATCTTTGAATGTCTAAACTACTTGAATCACCAGATTTTCATCTTCTTATCAGAGTTCACTTTGATTTCAGGGAAGGTAGTGAAGAGGAGTGGGTGAAGGAATTAGTGAGAAACATCCAAATTTTTTGGAGAATATTGCCATGGCATTCAATTAAAATAATCATGAAATACTTAGGATTTATTCACAAAAAGTTTTTGAATGTATACCAAATGAGACATAAATACATATACCAAGTACCAAATAAACTTTCTCATTAGAATGAGATTTAGTTTAAAACACTCCTGAATTGGTGGTGTGTGTTTTTTATAATATATTTTTATTGATTTCAGAGAGGAAGGGAAGGGAGAGAGAGGTAGAAACATCAATGATCAGAGAGAATCATTGATTGGCTGCCTCCTGCATGCCCCACATTGGGAATTTAGCCTGAAACTGAGGCATGTTCCCTGACTGGGAATCAAACCTGGACCTCCTGGTTCATAGGTTAATGCTTAACCACTGAGCCATGCTGGCTGGGCCTGAGTTGGTCTTTATAAATTCTGCAAAGTTTTTCCAATTATTTATTACCCTCATTTCTGATATACTTTTCCTTGATCCTTCCTCCGATTTCATCTATACTGTGCTGGCTATTTCTGGAGCTCAAGCATCCCCATGCCCTGGCTGGTTACTCAATGGTTAGAATGTCACCCCCATAAACTGAAGGGTTGTGTGTTCGATTCCCAGCCCTAGTCCGAGCACATGCACGAGGCAACCAGTTGATGTGTCTCTAACATCAATGTGGTGTTTATTTTAATTAAATATTTATTGTTGGAAGTAATATACATGTCCCCTTTTTCTGCCCATTGATCCCTTCTAACCTGCCTCTTTCAAAACCCAGTCCTAGTCTTCACTATCCTATTGTCTGTGTCCATAGGTAATGCATATATGCATATAAGACCTTTGGTTAATCTCTTCCTACCCTTCCCCCTGCTTTCCTCTGAGATTCATCAGTCTGTTCTATGTTTCCATGCCTCTGGTTCTATTTTATTCATCAGTTTATTTTGTTCATTAGATTTCTTGTTCATTTATTTTGAGTTTTAGATTCAGTTGTTGATAGATATGTATTGATTGCCATTTTATTGTTCATTTTCTTCTTCTAATTCTTCTTCTTCTTCTTCTTCTTCTTCTTCTTCTTCTTCTTCTTCTTCTAGAATGCTCTTCAACATTTCATGTAGTACTGGTTTGGTGGTGATGAACTCCTTTAGCCTTTTCTTGTCTGTGAAGGTCTTTATCTGACCTACAATTATAAATGATAGATTTCATAGGTAGAGTAATCTTGGTTGTAGGTCACTTTGAATATTTCTTTCCACTCCCTGCTGGCCTGCAAAGTTTCTGTTAACAGTCATATGGGTGCTTCCTTATAACTAACTGCTTTTTTCTTGCTGCTTTTAAGATTCTCTCTTTGTCTTTAACAATTGGCATTTTCATTGTGGGACTCTTTGGGTCCCTTTTGTTTGTGATTCTCTGTGCTTCCTGGACTTGTAAGTCTATTTCTTTCACCAAGTTAGGGAAAGAAATAGATTTATTATTATTATTTCTTCAAATAGGTTTTCAATTATCTTGTTCTCTTTTTTTCTCCTTCTGGAACCCGCATAATGTGAATGTTGGTATGCTTGAAGTTGTCCCAGAGAGTCCTTACACTATCTTCATTTTTTTTTTCTTTTTGCTTCCTTACACTCCAAATCAGAATCCTCTACTCTACTGATGAATCCCTATAAGTAATTCTTTATTTCACTTAGTGTATGCTTAATTTCTGATTGGTCTTTTATTATGTCTTTGACATTCTCACAAAGATCCTTGAAAGTCTTACTAAGTTCCTTGAAGGTCTCATAAAACCTCTTGAAGCTCTCATTAATATCCTGAGTAACCTTTTAAGCATATATTTGAACTCTGTATTCAGTAACTTGCTAGCTTCCATTTCTTTCATTTGTAACATGTTTCTTTATCTCTGAATTTTGACTGCTTCGTTATGTTTGTTTCTGTGTGTTAGATAAGCTGTCATGGCTCCTGGAATTAGTAGAGTGGCCTTGTGTAATAAGTGTCCTGTAGGGCCTAGTGGCTCAACCTCCCTAGTCACCAGAGCTGGCACTCTCAGTGTATCCCTGTGTGGGCTTTATGCACTGTTTTGTTGAGCCTTGATTGCTGTTGGTTTCACTGGGAGTAATTGACCTCCAGGTTAATTGGCTGGGAGGAGCAGTTGTATCTACAATGGAAGAGCTGCTGTGCAGGAAACACTTCTATGGAGCAGGGCTTTGGTATTTACTGAGCCTGCCCCTTGAGTGTGTCACTTGTGGATGTATAAAGTTGTAATCTGATATGGTCTGAAGTTTTCCACTGGGTTTACTGGCTCTGGGGCCTCCCAGGAAGTGGAAAGTCAGCCACTGCGTAGGGCCACTGAACAGGAGCTACAGAAAGATCTGCAGATGGCTGCTATTTGTATTGGGCTAGGAAGTACCCAGGTGAGGCCCAGCTGTGAAGCAAGGAAGACTGGTGCTAGTGCTGGGTCTTGGGCTTTTTTTTTTTTAGGTTTGGGGTATACTACCTCCAGGTGCTGCTTGTTTAAGAGATTTTAGCAAAGTCTGCAGTCTGAGCCAGGACAGGCCATTAATATGGAAAAGCAGCTGCAAACAGCTTGGGATGGGCTGCAAATTAGATGGGGTGGTTCCTCAGGGCCGAGAGAATAGTGTGGGCCATGCTGATGGAAACTCAGATATGGCTGCCAGTCAGCTCTGTGATGGGGTGGGGGTGGGGGGGTCCCAGCATAGGAACAATGATTCTTGCAAGCAGCCCTGTCTGGGAGAAAGCTGCCCCTGAGTTCCTGCCCTGATGCCAAACAATCCAGTTCCTCCCCATATGCCCCTGAATTCCCCCAAAGCCACTGCACAGCACTGGAACTCAGAGAAAGCAAGACCATGTAAGTTCATGTGGGCCTTTAAGAAGAATACCTGAGACTCCAGCAGCCTCTCATGTCACTCACTCAGCCAAAATCCCTGCTGGGGACTTCTCTTCCCAGTTTTGAACCCTGGGCTGGTGGGCTGGTGTGGGACTGGAAACCCCTGCTTCTTATGGGAGGCCTTAGAGATATCCCTCCTAATTAAAGAAATGCCACACATGGGTGTTGGAGCAGCCCATTCTGCACCTTTGCTCCTTCTACCATTCTCACTGCACTTTCTTCTTTACTGCTCTAGTTGTAGGACTTCTATTCAACCAGATTTCAAGTGATTCTGAATGATGGTTGTTCTGTATTTTAGTTGTAATTTTGATGTGGTTGTGGGAGGCAGCAAGTACCAGTGTTTACCTACACCACTATCTTCACAATCTGCCTTGGATCTTAGAAACAGCTAAAAAAATATATATATTTAAAAATAATATCTGACATCATTGCTGCAACATTCCCATATGGCAACCTTGGGCAAGATCTGATCCCTGGTTTGTCCTAATCCACATTTATCTGGCTTTAATCATATACTTGCCTGACTTTCCCATAAGCATTTGAGGTTATAACCCTTGCAATAGAATTTCCTGTTCCCCAGGGTTTATTTACCTTCTATGGCAGGCTAAATAATAGCCCTGAAAGATATCCAAATCCTAATATCTAGAACCTACTACTGTTCCATTATATGAGAAACGAGACTTTGCAAATTGATTAAATTAAATATTTTTTTAAGGTTGACTTTAAAAAAAAATTATTTCAGAGAGGAAGGGAGAGGAAGAGAGAAATAGAAACATTGATGATGAGAATTATTGATAGGCTACCTCCTGCACGCCCCCTACTGGGGATTGAGCCCAAACCAACATAGAACCCAGGACCCTCAGTCCATAGGCCGATGCACTATCCAATGAGCCAAACCAGTTAGGGCTAAATTAAGGATCTTGATATAGAGAGATTATCCTGGGTTGTCCACCCAGGCTCTAAATGCAATCATAATTGTTCATACAAGAGGGAGGCAGAAATAAATTTGATGATAGAAAAAGGCAATGTGGCCATGGAAGCAAGGGGGGGGAAAGGAGATGCATCGAGGGGCCATGAGCCCAGAAATGAGGACAGCCTCCAGAAATGGAAAAAGCAAGGCAAAGAATCCAACACTGGACCCTCCGGAGGGACATTTCCTTGCAGACACCTTGATTTAAGCCCAGTAAAACTGATTTCAGATTTCTGACCTCCAGACGATGGGAGAATAAATGTGTGTTGTTTGAAGCAACCAAGTTTATTGTGACAGCAGTCACAGGGTAATAATAAATCCTCCCTGGATGGGAATGTGAGTTTGGGAGGAGACTATCTTAATTTAATTTTTCCTCCTAGGGGCACAAGGGAACCCACTAGTTACCTCTTTTGCTAAAAGCCATAGAAACAGAACACAAGTAATGTATTATAGGCCACTTGAATGCTTTGATCCTTCCTGTAACACTCTTACACATTTCCCCATGTCAAAGCAGTTCACGGTTCAGGGGTTTTGTTGCCAGGATCATGCTGGGTTTACACATACAGAGAAATCAATTCTCTACCCACCCTGTAAAGAGAAGACTATCTGAATGTCACTTTATAATGTTACTGCTGTCTTCTCTCCTTTATCACCACTGGTACCTATAAAGAGAAAAACTGATTAAATAATGTGAGTTGCTTTGAAATAATCTCAATTACCCATATAGTGAGAAGGATGGATGTGGAAACAGATAGGTCACATTTGAATTTATCTACTCAAACCCTCCAATGAATCTACAAAATATTAGTTTAGAAAAGTCAATTTTAGTTAAATTTGAATTATTTCTTTTTCCAGTTTAGAAGAGAGAAATAAACATCTGGAAGATCTAATTAGGAGGCCCAAAGATAAAGCCAGAAAACCAAGGTAATTTTTTTAAAATAAATAATGTCTTTAATTTTCAAATATATGTATAGTAAAATATATATGTATAATAATAAGTAATAAAATTTTTAAAACTTTTTAAAATATTTTTTTAAAAGATTAAAAATATATTCTATGAAAGTGCTTGTTTTGGGGGGTAGGTTTTTTTGCCTGGCATAAAACAGTTGCTTGATAAATGTTTTTTGTAGGATCTGAATTAGAAAGCCAGGTTCCCTGTCCTCATGGAATTTCAGATCACTTCTAAGGAAGGTACTATAAAGATTATGAGTTAAGACTTTGTCTACAATAAAACAGCTTACCCTGCTATAAACATATAGCATAACAGATTTTATGACCAGATTTTCTTACACTAATGTTAACTCTTATAATCTTTCAGTATTTGATGCTACAAGGTATATTTGCAAACCTAATGGGGTTAAGACCATAGTAGGATTTTAAAATCAGGCTCTTCCTGGCCTAATTCCTGAGGTGCTAATAAAACATTTACTAGTTCTCAAAATGAGAATGAGTTTTCCCCATGTGTAAGGATTCTGTAGGAAATTTCAAAGAATTTGTTTCATAACTCATATTCTTTGGCCAGATCTACATTCGGTATATAAAAAGTGTGGAGAGTGAAGATGAGAGAAGAGATTCCTTTGACTCTGTCAGATTGTGAGCTCCCATTTCCCCTAAGTAATTGTACCTCTTTTCTCTAAAGGCTTGTGAAGAGGTTTCAGGAGATCACCTAAAGAGCTTGGAAATAAATGCTTTTCCTAAGAGTTGGGAAACAGGATCAGTGACTCACTCATGCCTGAGAAAGCTAAATAAAGCACCTGTGGCTGAGAAAGGACAGAGGGGCTGTATTGGGGGTGGCCTATTCTCCCTGAGATTCTGATGAGCACAAAGGATATATGCGACAGTTTCTTAAGAACCATGCAAGTGAGAGTTGAGTTGTTGTGGGCTCTACTCAAGGCTATCTAGAAGGGTATCAGCAGCAAGAAGCTTAAAGAGAACACACAAATCTTCAGAGCTGATGAAGAAATATCAAGTGACCACCAGAGGAGAGATGCATAAGTCTGAGTCAAGGGAATTTGTAGTGAAACCAAACAATGAATGGGTCAGAGCTGTCTGTCACTACTTGAGCCAATTAAGCAGAGACAAGATTGAATCATTTATAAACCTTTATTTCAATAATGCCAGCAGTATGGGAGAGCAGCAGATCATCTACAAAAGTCTGTTCTCCTCATTACCCCCATAAACCAGCTGCTTATATTGGGTAGAATGGCAAAGATAACATGGGAAAGGAGGAATTACAGGCATGGGGAAGTAGGCAAGGTCCCATGGTTACAGGTTACAGGCAATGTGGGCTGAGTCTGGAAAAGAGCAGACACCTCCAGGACCATACTGTTTCAGCCACAGGTTGTTTTGTATGTTTTTGTTGTTGTTATTGTTGTTTCTATAATATATTTTATTGATTTTTTACAGAGAGGAGGAGAGAGGGATAGAGAGTTAGAAACATGAACAGAGAGAAACATCCATCAGCTGCCTTCTGCACATCTTCTACTGGGGGCGTGCCCATAAGCAGGGTACATGCCCTTGACCTTTTAGTCTGCAGGCTGATGCTCTATCCACTGAGCCAAACCAGTTAGGGCAGCAATAAGATTGCTAATCTTTCCATGATGATGAGCAGCTCTAGGAAAATACTAATGGATCACATTCCCAAGTTAACTCCATGTCCTGAGGCATACAACTCTCAGCCAGGTCAGAATGTGCTTTCTCTAATCAGAATAGAAGACTTACAGTTAATAGAGTATCCTCTCTAATAAAAGAGAAACATACAAATTGTGCACCTTCGCTACACCCACGAGCCACGCCTACCAGCCAATCAGGGTGAGTATGCAAATTAACTCGACCAAGATGGCAGTTAATTTGCATATCCAGGCTAGAGCGAAGACTAGCGACAGCATAGAAAGAAGCCAAGCGCTGCAGAAGGGAGTGAAGCTGCAGAGAACCAAGCAAGTGGGGCAGCAGAGAAGGCAGGGAAGCAGGTGGGGCAGGTAGAAGGGAGAGAAGCAGGCGGAGCATCAGAGACCTCAGCAGGAAGCCCTATTGCAAGCATCTTCCTGCAAGGGGCATCTAGTGCTTAATATTTCTTAGAACTAGTCCCCATTATTCTATTTCTGCCCCTAACAGTAGGACAGAGATCCTTAACAAAGTCAAGCTCTGAAGAGAATTAGCTTTAGCCATTTGCCAAGTCCAGAGATTCTGTAACCACCCAGCCAAATAAGAATGTCCTACAGCCTACATCCCATCTCTCCTGCTGAAAATGGAGGAAGTTGTGAGCAAAGAGAGCAGAAATTGGCTTCCAAGAGTAGTTGGAGTCCACCAACTGAAGCCATAGATGAGAGAGGTGAAGTCCTACTTTTGAAAGAAGATTAAAGGATTGATTACTATTTAAGACTGGATAATATGCCTACTAAGTTGAGACTGTGTTTATGCCTCACAGTGAGGACTGACTGTTACCTTAAAGTGAGTAAAAACTCATTTGGCCTATTGCATAGTCAGCCAATGGCAAAGGAAAAGCAACTTCCCTGAGTGGCATAAGTCTAAAGCAGGAGGAGGAGGCAGACATTAAATGTGCATTTTGATTATATCATGTTTGTTCAGCTTACCATTTGAAAATACAACTATGTTTTAAAAATCAAAAGTCGTTAGCAGATTTGTATTAGTATTTGCAAAGTGCTAAATTAACAACAATGTATTTTTTCTTAATATGAAAGATTAGATCTGATGCCTGGCATATAACAGATGTTCAGTGATTGCTAATTTAAGCTGAGTGTATCTCTTCTGAGTTGCTGAGAGAAATCATGAAATATGTTTTTCCAGAATTATTTTTAAAATAAGAAAATTTGCATATAAATTTTTACATTTTTCACTAGTTCAGATATTTGCTTACTTATAAATAACATGTGGCCTATTTCACAACAAATTTGAGGCCCATTTGTATAGACTTAGCTTGGCCTTGAAGCAAGGGGGTGTAGTAGAGAAGAGCTTCCAAGGTTCTTTCTTAGAAAACTTAAGACTTACACCAGCCTTCAGCCACCACTGATCATGAAGCCTTTCACTGGCCAGTTGGCCTCACTGAATTCAGCATGGGAACATGTTTTGGACTCTTTCTGCATCATCTCAAAATTATGATGCTGCTTTTTCCAATTGTCTTTAGTAGAGGAAACAGGGAAAGAAAAATGGGCACTTTAAAAACCTCATACCTCTTATTTTTGCTTCTAGTTCTTAATCACTTTCAAGGAAATTTCTTAGATTTTCAAATCATAGCCAAAATTTTATCCTAAGCAAATCTATGAGAGTGATAAAATGTAATGAGACTGTGATTCAAAATATTCTCTTAATTATACTAAGAATGACTCATATATTACATACTAAAAATCTTTAGCTTAATGTTTAGGGTCATATAATTCTATCCTAAATGACAGTTTCTCTTTGAGTGAGGGAAAGAATATGTTAAATCACAGCATACTTGGTTCATTATTTTTAGTTCTCCACACCACCTCCCTCTCTCTCTCTCTCTTTCTCTCTCTCTCTCTCTCTCTCTCTCTCTCTCTCTCTCTCTCTCTCTTTCCCTCCCTCTCTCTTACATTATTCTCTTTCGATTTCCTTCAGACCAAGAAGATTAGAAAATCATCTAAAATCCATGACTGAGGTAGGTCATATTGCTGATCATTATAAAGAATGTTATATTCCTATGTAATTTGATAATAACACAAGATTAAGCATAAGTTCCTGAAGTTACCTTTCAGTAATGTTCACCTTAGTTTTCCCTTCTATCCTCAGATGAGGGCCTCTTTGCTTCTGATCATAGTTTGTCTATAATTAGAATCCCCTCTCTCTGGACCATTCTTTGTATTGGTCCTCTTAACTTCATCTCACAGCTACTGCTTCATGTCAGGCCCTCATCATTTTTCTTCTGCTCTCCCACAGTCATCTTCTAATTGTGTTTCTTCCTCCAGTTTTACTCTCCTCTTGTCTTCCACAGAGTAGATAAAGTGATCTTTCTGAAGCAAAATATGATTATGCCTTTCCCCTACATAAACTCTCCAGTGGTTCTCAGTTGCATTCAAGATCAAATCCAGTCTCTTTAGCTTGGCACATAAGGTCCTCTATGGTCTAACCCTGTGGTCGGCAAACTGTGACTTGTGAGACACATGCGACACTCTGGACACTTGAGTGTGGCTCTTCCACAAAATACTATGGCCTGGGTGAGTCTATTTTGAAGAAATGGCATTAGAAGAAATTTAAGTTTAAAAAATTTGGCTCTCAAAAGAAATTTTAATTGTTGTACTATTGATATTTGGCTCTGTTGACTAATGAGTTTGCTGACCACTGTTGTAACCCTTTTTTTCCTATCTAATCTGTCAGTCATTGTTTTCTCATTGCCATACACACCAACCCTATCTAACTAACCATTTGAAATTTTCTAAATGTGCTGTTATTTTTATGCTTTCTTGTGATTGCCCATGCAGTTTCCCGTACCTGGAATCTCGCTGATGACTTCTTTCCTCCCCCTTACTTCATTTCCCACTGTCAGCTCAAGCTCCATCTCCTGCCCTGTCAACCAGATGTTTCCTCCCATGTTTCCACACTATACCTTTGATGCAATAGAACTTATAATATTTCACTAGTTCTCTTCTTGCATGTTCCTTGACTTGACTAGAACTCTTTTAGTACAGGGATTATCTCATATTTATTTTGTTATCCCCAAGCACCTATGACATAAAAAGTACTAAATGAGAGTGAATATTTATTTTGGCATCCCCAACAACTATGCCATAATAGGTACTAAATAGACTGGTATGTGGACCTAAGACCAAAGGTACCCTTCCTGGAGTAATTACTAACAGAAGATGTAGCTGTTGCTGCTGCCCCTGTCCTGCCCAAGGCAGTGGACATCTATCTAATAAGAGTAAAATGCAAATTGACCATACCTCCACTATACCCACAAGCCAGACCCCATCAGCCAATCAGGAGCAAGTATGCAAATTAACCCAACCAAAATGCCTGCAGCCACAGAGCTGCAATAAGCAGGAGGCTTCGGTTTCCCCAGCAATGGAGGAAGCCAAGCTTCCCTGCCACCCTGGTCAGCCCAGGCCTACACTCAAGGCTACAAAGTTTTAATTATAGAAGATAAATAAATCCCCACAAAAATGGTGGCAGCCATGGAGCTGGAGAGAGCAAGAGGCTTGATTGCCTCTAGTGATGGAGGAAGCCAAGCTCCCGCACTCCTGGTCTGCCTTGTACTCCCGCTACAAAGTTTCAATTATAGACAATAAATAAATCCCAAGAAAAATGGCTGCGGCCATGGAGTGAGCAGGAGGCTTGGTTCCACTCAAGGTTACAAAGTTTTTATAGAAGATAAATAAATCCCAGATATCAGGGCCTCCACTTGGGTTGCCAGGGGGCATGGCCGGCCTGCAAACCACTACAGGCCCCTCACCCAGGCTGCCCGACGCCCCAAGGCAACTCCCACCCTGATCTGGGACACCCTTCAAGGCAAACCAGCTGGTCGCCACCCATGTACCAGGCCTCTATCCTATTTAATAAAAGAGTAATATTCAAATTGACCATCACTCCAACATACAAAATGGCTTCCCCCATATGGTCAAAAATGGCTTCCCCCATGTGGACACAAGATGGCCACTACAAGATGGCCAGTAGGGGAGGACAGTTGGGAGGGTCCAGTCCTGCAAGGAAGGGCAGTTGGGGGTGACCAGGCTGGCAGAGGAGGGAAGTTGGGGGCGACTGGGCCTGCAGGGAAGGGGACCCAGGCCTGCAGGGGAGAGCAGTTAGGGGCAAACAGGCTGGCAGGGGAGCAGTTAGGCATCAACCATGCTGTCAGGGGAATGGTTAGGGGGGATCAGGCTGGCAGGCAGAAGTGGTTAGGGGCAATCAGGAAGGCAAACAGGCAAGCAGTTGGGAGCTAGCAGTCCTTGATTGTGAGAGGGATGTCCGACTGCCTGTTTAGGACCAACCGGGCCTAAACAGGCAATCGGACGTCCCTAGAGGGGTCCCAGATTGAAGAGAGGTTGGGCTGAGGGACACACACCCCAGTGCATGAATTTTGTGTATCAGGCCTTTAGTACACACACACACACACACACACACACACATATGTACACACATATACATACATATATGTGTGTGTGTGTATACACACACACACACACACACACACACACACATATATATATATATATATATATATATATATATATATATATATGGCTAAGTGACTCACTAACCAGCTCCCTGGGTTGGTAACAATGATGTGCAATGATCACCAGGGGCAGACGCTCAATGCAGGAGCTTCCAGGTGACAACAACTTTGCAGAGTGCTATCTTGTACTCTGGGCCCCCTCAGGGAATGTCAGACTGCCAGTTTTGGCCCGATTCCCACAGGCAAAGGCTGAGAGACCCCCACCTACTGGAGGGACCCCGCTCACTCCTCAGATGCCCTTGGAGCCTCAGTGCTTCCCCAGGTGCAGCTGGCTGGAGAGAAACTACAGGGGTGGGTTCCAGGAGATGCCAGTCCTGCCCCTCCGGCCACCTTCTAATTAATTTACTTTCAATGTGCATGATTCCATGCACTGGGCCTCTATTGTATTCATAAATACCATGGCCTATTTGTGACATAGCTCTGTGGGGGAGGGGTACAAAGGTCTACACTCTATATGCCCCATTGAGATCCAATTGTTGCAATAGTTATGAGGACTCCTTAATACTACCAACTCTTGGTTATGTTGTGCTGGTGAGTCACTTCATGGACTATTTAGATTCTTACTTCTATTCCTTTTCCTTCATTCTGCCAGTTGGCAGCCAAACCAAGGAAGATGGAAAGCAACCAGCTTTGTTCCTTATCATGTTCCTTAAAGGTTGAAACAAAAATAATCATTAAAATATAGTATTGGTAGTATTTGTTACGTCCATCTATCCATAGGCTATTCTTGTACCACTTTTCATATATAATCAGGAATGAGCTATTTATGGAATCAGAATTCCATATGTAATCAAGAATCTGCTGTTTGTTCTATCACTGAATGCCTATCTTTTCTGAACTCTTAACATTTTTCCCTTTCATTTTTAGATGTCAGATATTTCAGAAGGACATGGAAATGATATAGATTAAACAGGACTGAAGAGTAAACATTAATCATTTTGTCAACCACTCCAGGAGCAGAGTCCTACTAAGCATAGTATCCTAATCAATCCATTCAAATGATACATTAAAATTGTATAAACAATGAAATTTTACATTGCAAAAAATGTGATTATTTTCTAATTTTATCCTGTAAACAATCAAACATATTCTACTTTAATAAAAACAGATGAATACAATGGCTGATTTTCCAAATATCTATTTTCATTTTCACAGAATATCACTCCAATGTTTTCAGGTCTTTAGTGACACATACAAATAGTCATATTGCCCTAACTGGTTTGGCTCAGTGGCTAGAGCTTCGGCCTATAGACTGAAAGGTCCCAGGTTCAATTTCCAGTCAAGGGCATGTACCTTGGATACCGACACATCCCCAGTATGTGATAGAGGCAGCTGAACGATGTATCTCTCTCATTGATGTTTCTAACTCTTTAACCCTCTCCCTTCCTCTCTGTAAAAAAATCAATAAAATATATATTAATAAATAAATAAATAAAAATAGTCATGTATCTTATTTCAACTCTTCCCTCTCCTCCCCCCGCCCCCACTGAAGGAAATCCTTTTTCTTTCCAGGCAGGCAGGCTCTTCCTACTGCCAACTAAAGCTAAATGGACAGTTATTTGAAATTCTTTGGAATTGAACCATAGATGAAAAGAGAGGACTTATCTTTTGAGTCCTAATTCTATGATTTCTTCCTTAACATAGTTTTGAGTAATTAGTTATGAATTTAAACAAAGGAACCAAAGATAGCAGATTTTGTGATATGTATCAGAAAGATCAGTGAACATAAAATATATTTTTTCTTTTGGTAAATCCCAAATCTATGATGAAGGTGTAACTGTTGGATCAAAAATATATCTTGAGCCCTGGCTGGTGTGGCTCAGTTGGTTGGATGTCACTCCATTCTTCGAAAAATTGCTGGTTTGATTCTTGGTCAGGGCACATGCCTATGTTTCAAGCTCCATGAAATTTAGGGGCATGCAGAGGCAGCCAGTCAATGTTCTGCAGTCACACTGATGTTTTATCTCTCTCCCTTCTTTCTCTGTAAAAATCAACTTGAGTGAAAAGGGAAGAAATTATTTTATCTCACTGAAATTAGTTTTGCACTTCAATTACTCAAGTAAGCACAAAGAGAAAATATATATCTGGCCCTGAGGAAGTGCTGAATAAAGAAAAGCTGTTGTTATTTTTGTGGGGAATTCAGGACAGGTCTTATATGAATTTTGAAATATAAAATTTGTTAATTTCTCAAATTCAAAAAGTTGCCATCAAATTTAAGACAAACCATCAGAAATGCACAAAGAGTTCACAAGCATGACTGTTTAGTTTCAGAAAATCAAGCATGGACAGCTTTGGAAGTGACTCAAGTTCCAAAAGGAGATATTGTTATCATCATCATCGTTATCATCATCATCATCATCATGTTTCATAATATCCTCTAGGGAAAATTAAAATATTATAGAATGACAAATGTTAAGATAAAGTTGGCTAGATCTGGAATGGCCAATATGGTGCGGCCATCAGATCCCTTGATACCTCAAAGGCATAGTCTTTCTAAGATGGTTTATCAGATGTCTCTCTATTCTTGTTCTGCACGTGTCAGGTGCCTAACAGATATTTTGCTGCTGCTAGGAAGCCAGGAAAGAAAAAAAAAAGTGCCAAAAAAAAAAAGCAGCAAATGAAAACAAAGATGAAATTAAAAAAATAAAGTCATACCCCTTTATGGATGGCAAATCTGAGGATGATGTCTACTTAAAACGCTTATATCCAAGGCAGATATAGAAAATAAAGATATTCATTTACTTAAGAAATTTCAAATTCTGGACTTGATGAATCCAAAGCAAGGTGTTTATATCTATCTACCTACCTACCTATCTATCTATATTTATTTTATTGATTTCAGAAAGAAAGGTAGATGGAGAGAGAAAGAAACACCAATGATGAGAATCATTGATCAGCTGTCTCTTGCCTGCCACCCACAGGGGATCAAGCCCACAACTGGGGCATGTGCCCTGACTAGCAATCGAACCCTGACCTCCTAGTTTATAGGTTAATGCTCAACCACTGAGCCACACTGGTCAGGTAGCAAGGTGTTTATCTTGATGTGACACTGGATATGGCACTGGGGAAGAAGAAAAAAGTGGAACCATTGCTAGTGTCCTTAGTTTGCCATACCCATTCATTTCAGAAATCAGCAAAGTTACTGTGCTTACAGGGAATGCATCAGAGATTAAAATAGCAGAGGGGAAATGAAGCTGCATTTGCAGGAGGAACTAATCTGATTCAGAAGATTTTGGATGATGAAATTCAATCAGACTTTTATGCAGCTGTTCCAGAAATACTAATGCCCAAACTTAATCTATTAAAAAGAAACTGAAAAAAGGTTTCCAAAGTTTACTCGGAATTCCATTGGCTGTGACATCCTCAGAATGCTGTTTAAAAGTGGACGTGAAATTAAGGTAGATTGAAGAAAGGGAGAACTTTCTGGAGACCAAAATAGCAACACTAGATATGTCAAGTGAACAGGCAGTTGCCAATCTGCAAACTGGTATCGATGAAGTTTGTAAGCACAGACTGCTAAATTTGGGACCCTTCGTGGTATGAGTTTTCTTTCCCAGTTTGACAAGGGGAGGTTTGTTACTAAAGATGGAGCCATTGTTGCCTAAAGAAGTAGAAACCAAAGAAAATAACAGAGAAACTGCCTGAAAGTGTTGTACAATAAAACCTTGATATAATGGCGAGAGGGTGTCTGTTAAAGCCGAAAGTTAGTTATATAATCCTACCTAATAAAAAAAATAGCATGCAGCCAAAACCGGTTTGGCTCAGTGGATAGAGCTTGCGGATTGAAAGGTCCCAGGTTCGATTCCGGTCAAGGGCATATACCTTGGTTGCGAGCACATCCCCGGTAGGGTGTGTGCAAGAGGCAGCTTATCAATGATTCTCTCTCATCAATATTTCTAACTCTCTATCCCTCTTTCTTCCTCTCTGTAAAAAAATCAATAAAATATATATATTTTTAAAAAGTAGCATGCAAATTAACCATCACTCTGCTCCACAAGCCACACCCACCAGCAAATCAGAGCGAGCATGCAAATAAACCCAACCAAGATGGCTATAGCCACACAGAGCAGGAGGGAGGCATTTCCCCAGCAACGGAGGAAGCCAAGCTTTCTGCCTGCCATTGCCAGCCTAAGCCTCCACTCAAGGCTACTAAGTTTCAATTGTAGAAAGTAAATATATCCCAGATACCAGGGCCTCCACTTGGGTCGCTGGGGGGCGTGGCCGGCCTGCAAACCACCACAGACCGCTCACTCAGGCTGCCCCATGCCCCAAGGGAACACCCACCCTGATCTGGGACACCCTTCAGGGCAAACCAGCTGGCCCCCACCTATGCACCAGGCCTCTATCCTAGCTAATAAAAGAGTAATACTCAGATTGACCATCACTCCAACACTCAAGATGGCTGCCCCCATGTGGTCAAAGATCCTGCCCCTAAGTGGACACAAGATGGCCACCACAAGATGGCCAGTAGGGAAGGACAGCTGGGAAGGACCAGGTCTGCAAGGGAGGGCAATTGAAGATGATCAACCCTGCAGTTAGGGGTGACCAGGCTGGCAGAGGAGGGAAGTTGGGGGCAAACGGGCTGGCAGGGGAGCAGTTAGACATCAATCAGGCTGGCAGGGGAGTGGTTAGGGGGTGACCAGGTTGGCAGGCAGAAGCAGTTAAGGGCAATCAGGAAGGCAGGCAGGCAAGCAGTTGGAAGCCAGCAGTCCTGGATTGTGAGAGGGATGTCCAACTGACCAGTTAGGCCCGATTGGGTCTAAATGGGCAGTCAGACATCCCTCGAGGGGGTCCCAGATTGGAGAGAGTGCAGGCTGGGCTGAGGGACAACCTCCTCTGCCCCCATGCACAATTTTGTGCACCGGGCCTCTAGTAAAGTAGGTTTTCCAAATGTGTATGTTTAAAAATTGACAAATTAATTCGTTTACCTGTTTTAACTTATGTAGGCACGTTTGTGTAATTAAAATTAAGTATCTATGAAAAGTTTTATTTCACAGAAAAGTTTTCTACATGTATTACTGTGATTTTAAATTTATACTGAATAGGTCTAGCCTGTATTCACCAGTCACTGCAAAGTAAACAAATGCACACAGCTGGAGCGTGGCTTAGTGCACAAGGGAACATTGGTCTGTATGCATTAAAACTGCTGCAGAAGGTTGAGCCACCAAGCCATGGGACAACAGAACCAATAACCCTCCCTGCACAATGCAGTGTGATCACATGCTAGTCATTCACTGAACATTGTTTACTGAGTGGTGACTCTTGGATTTAAATATGTAGGCTATAGTTGTAGATATATAATATGTATTTATGTTGGCAAAACTACTAGTGTGTTTTCCCCCCAACATATGGCCTATTCGCTAAAATTTGTAAAAAAATAATAATAATGGACTATTAATAGTAACCAAAAAACAACTGTTAATTGAACTATAAGAAAATCTTGATTAAAAACATTTTCAAATTAATTTTCACATATGACATATGGAAATTTTGTCCTTTAAACCCAAAGTCTGTTAAATCAAGGGTTTGCTGTATTGTGAAATTATTTTTAGTAAATGAAGATACAATGGAGAAAATTATAAAACTGTATAATTTCTTAAAAAAAAAAAAAAGATAAAGATAGCTAATTCAGCACCTGGAATCTGTACACCAATGTGATGAAACAATTGGAATGAAAACATTAACACAGGTTATCTACATACAGGGCTGTGTGTCTAAGTGCTACATTTGCAATGTGTATTATTACACATTTATGAGCTTTTACCTACAGGTTGTCTCAACATGAAGATGCCTCCTTTGATGCATGGTTCAAATATGCAGAGCCTAATTCAGTAAACATTTAGTGACTGTCAATAAACTGTGTGACAGCCTCTGTGTTAGATGCCAAGGATAGAGAGAGAAATCAAGCAAAGATCACCAAGGACTACATAATCTGTCGAGAAAGATAGATAAATCAACTCTGCTCTAGAATGGTGTAGGTTTACCTGTTCCAGGTGCTCTAAAAGCATAGATGAAATGGCCCTGGACTGTGTGAGAAAACCGCAGGGAAGATTTTACAGAAATGGTGACACCTGAGCCAGATCAGCATGGCTGCCTGGATATTCCTTAGATAGAAGAGGAAAGCAAGAGC